CCCAGTTCCATGGCTCATCGTCGAACTTTAGCCTCAACATCTAAACTGTGACGCCAATGCTATGCAGCGTTTTCAGCGGTTGAACTAATGAGGAAGCGACGATGAATGGCACTTTGGTTCTTCCCCTCAGTTTGTATTAGAAATACCCTTCAGACACGCTCATACTGTAATTTTAACATAAAACTTCATTTTACTTGAAGTTAAAATTCTCGGTTAGATCCAAAGTCGTCATATCCATACTTGCGGGGTGGTGCACACAAGCTACTTAAGACCAGAATTTCACCTTGACCGAGATTTCTAATAAGCACAGTCCACTCAAGCCCGCATATTAGCTGCCCACATTGATGTTGTGACTGGTATCACCCGGTTATGAATTAAAAAAGACTAGATAGTTCTCGTCATTCGGTAAACTCCTGCTAAACAGGCTGGCCAAAACTGATGGCTTATTGGGAAATTTTTCAAAGATGTTAGTCGAACTACCGAACAGTTCGCTCACCACGCATACATTAATAGGAAAATAACTCCAAGTGAACAGACCTTCGAATCAGCCGCATGTAGCCAAGCGTATACCAAGCATTTCGCCTCTTTTCTGTGGACTACGAGGTGGTTGCCTATGATGATTAACAAGAGCGGAGCAGCTATCCACTGCTTCCACTTACAGCTTTCCGATATGAAGCACGAAAGAGATTTCAATATCAGATGAAAGCAACAATCGCTCGAACGAAAGCAGCACAAACGCAGTCGAAGCCGACAAACAGGAAGCTGCCGAATGATTGCGCCACTCCATATATTAGTACCTTTGAGTACTAATCTGGCACTCCGTCCACCTGAAGTTGCAGCGGATACAAAGAAAGTAAGCTAAATTGGGAAACGTGTTTTGCTCTGGAAATCTCTTAACTGGTCTTTCCAGGTCCCACTGAAGAATTGACAAGCCGGTTTTATTTGCAGAGGTAGTGTGGGCTAAGAATGACGGGTGAAAAAAGGGACAAGGAACCTCCCCAACTTTGTCCGTTCTGCGTCCAGTGGATAATCAGACCTGCGAAATTCATAATGTCCAGTGATGCAGGTACTTTGCCGTGAAATGGTTACCCAACCACTCCCAGCTATCTCGTACTCTTCTATAGCGGACATACTAATAGTTGCACGACTACAACCTACAAGCATATGCTACTGGTGTAGTCCTATCCATGATATCTTATCCCTTAGGAAACAAAGTTTTCAAATCAAATTGAACAGAAAAAGCACAACTGAGATTCACTGAGCAATTGAACCAAACTAGGTTCGCGATATCTCCATACCCGCTTAGAATAAAGGGAAAAGCTCCTAGTGACTGAAAGCAAAGAAGAGAACACGAAGCCCCAAGAAGATGTGTACTTTGTTACATATGTACAAATTGCTCCTCTTATGTACGATCATAGATCGACCCTTCCTGTGATGGTTGAAACTTGTGCTGCTTCAAACGGCGGATAGTACAGTATGTTCAGCTGAACCGCGGTTGGTTGTTCTGAAGAAGCTCCATCAGATTTGTGCCCTGAATCCAACAATTCCTTTACGAACCAGGGAAATGTTGGCGGTCCGTAAAATATGAATGTATGAGCTCCGCGAATTTTTCGTCTGAAAGGAAAGGGGAAGAGTGAGGAAGTGATTGAAACATGTTTAGTGTCAGGGCCAGGTTTCTCTCAGAACCGCCAAAAAGACCAACTGACCTGTTAGAATACGTCTCGCAAAGGATACACAGAAAACCTCCAGGATATCCGGTTTCTTCAAAAATGTCCCTAGCACATGACCTACTTCTAAAAAGCAAAACTTGGCGACACAGTTAAATAAGCAGCCAGTGTTTCCGTTCAGCATAACAGGATTACGGGGACAATCGTTCGAACAATGGTAATCCAAGAAGAAACGTTATAACAACTCTCCCAGTAGCTGGACGATGCCAACAGAACTGCAGCTTCCTTGTGCCACAATTTACCATCCTTTCGACAGCAAAAAATCCCAAAGAGAATGATTTTCGGACTACTATACTTCATTCAGGTGTGACCTAAAACCAGGGTTCAGCCAACCATTGTAACCCGTTCTTTTTGAAGACTTGCATTTCGAAGAACTAGCTCCTCAGAGCGACTGGTTAATTTTGTGGGGTCGTTTTGGAATGTGAACGAGGTCAGGCCAAATCAAGCCGTTAGAAACAGACAGGAGATGAGTAAAATAACAAAAGTGGTTCACAGATTACAATTTCGAAATGATTCGGAAACGGCCCTCCGCTTTAACTCATTAGCAATTGGAAAAACATAAGATCGGCGTGATTTCTGAGATCAGAGATTCCTTAATGTACTTAATTACTTTAAAGCCAGCTGGTATCACAAAGGCGTAAACATGAAGAACGAAAAACTTGACTGGATTTTATGAAACTGATTTTTCAACAGTCAACCAACAAGTGTCAAACGAAAAGGTATTAGGTGGCAAAAGCAAACTAAATGGGCTACTAATGGTTCAAAATAACGGGGAGGCAAGCTGAAGGTGTTCAGGAAATGACTGTCAATTTAGTACGGGTGGGAAAAACGAACGGCTGGTCAGAAACAACAATAATAATTATCCGATTCACTTCTTAGAGGCGGTAGAAAGTTGCCGCCTAGCATATATGTGAGTTAACATGACAAGTGAAGGGGGTTTGGGTTGAAAATTCTTATTTTTTGCGTATTGGAAAATGCTTTCAGAAACCACTGGCCCTTATTTTGGAAGCCAAAACAGTCGGCTACTTACCTGCGAAAGAAATAATACCGCTCACTCATCAGAAGAATTCGGATACGTCCATCTGCAAACAGTGTCCGAAATCGTTCGGCCTCCGCATCTTCAGTATACCTGAACGCGAAAACAGATGAGTAAAAATAGGGTACTTGGTGGGAGGCGCAAAGGAACAAGTTGAAAGTTAATTGCCCTTTCAAGATTATGCACCTAGAACTTAGGATTTACCAAACCATCCAGAACTCGGAGCTATTTAGCTGTTCATTCTGAGGCATAACCCCGTACGGCACCTGTCAGAACTGACAGGCTTGTTTATTTCACAGTGAAGAGCAACCCACAAAAAAATTGAACTTCTGAACCCATACAAAACCAAACCAAGAAATGGCGTTATAAGAAGGAAAGGATCCAAATCTAGGATAAAAGCCCGGTGACGGACCAGTTTAATCTGAAGGAGTGGTCATCAGAAGAAGAAGAGTCACTCCAAGGTGGCGGCAGAACTTGAGTAAACCGTAGGTGGAGACCAATGAGATAGTATAACATAGAGTGGCTACGTTGTAGTGTTAATTTATCCTATTGCCCCATATTGCAAACGCACACCCGATGTTGGTACTTCTTACCAGAACATCGCTGATAGCACCTGGGCTGAACGCTAGTGCCCCACCATCATATCTAAAACGTGAAACAAAATTTACTATTCAACAAATACAAGCAAGTTTGATGCATTTGTCTCACTAACAACTAGGCAAAACAAGTCTAATCCAATGCACAACAGAAAGAACAAGTCAGATCGAGGATGGACAGAAATGTGTTGGATCATAAAATCTCATATCTGCAAAAGTCTTAAGTCTGAAACCTAGTAGAAACCCGCCAGCGACCCTCTGCATATGAATGGACCCGAAATGGATGTCCTTTTTGGGTAGACGACGCACTCTAGCCAAGTTATTCGGTGTTAGTCAGAACTTTCGTTCAATTGTTTCATACTAACGCTGGTCAGAAACGGCGTCAGCTCTGAATGCACCGGTCATTTTGAACAACCAAGGGAATGAATAACTTTCAAGTACAAAGCTTGTATCTATTTGCTGGTCACTTGCCGATGCCTTCTGAGTCCATTAATCATGTTTTAACCCGTTACTTTCATCTTCGGTGAATCTCTGATGTGCACGGACGTCACTTAAATCAAAGGCCGCCTGCATTAATCGAGCTAGTCAGAGTCCAGTTTTGTGGTGACCTAACGACAGGCCTCGCCTGAGGACAAGTACTTACCTTCCAAGTATTCAGACAGGTGATTACTTGAAAGTTTTCTTCAACGAAAAGGCGACTGTTGCACTAATCCTAGAATGGTTATAGAATGTAACAAACAGGCAGAAGCTAATAACTCAGTTTTTATTGACGTGTCGGACTTTTTATCGAAAATGAAAGAGTATGAAACTTGTTCGAACCTCCTATTGCTGCATCCAGCATCTAGGAGTCAGCACCATCCAACTGCGAAGTGAGGTGGAGTCACAGCGTATATTTAGTCTGCATGGTAGAAAATCTTCACAGTTGCAGTTGACTCTAGCAGATAAATCCTCTAATTGAGGTGAGGTCACGCGCTTTTTCGAAGATGGCTAGATTTAAAAAGGTCATAGACTACATGCACGAAAACGGGTTAATTGTACAAAGAGGGAATTCAACCTTCATTTTGATAGAATAGTTCTCCAAACAGATGTGAGTTCTGTTGGAGAGAAAAGCGCATAGACAGAGCTATTCGGATGGAAATACAAAACAGACTTACAGATACCTCGTTGCAAAACTCCTTAGTGTTAAGCGATTCTTTATCAAAGCTATGCGGTTATCCAAAACCAGAATAAAACGATCGTTCAGTGTAACCTACTCATGAATACAGCAGAAATCCAGCGATTCGGCTGTGAGTATGAGGCGAATTTCTTCGAGGTCGTAAAAATCAGGGACGTAGATTAGCACGCGTGGGTCGATACCCCGGCGAAGACGTGGAAGGATTCGTATTTTGAATGCATTCATCCTCGCTAACGGTACGGCTCTCTCCGCTGCAACGGAAGAAAAATCGACTGAGCGGCATCGAAGCTGTCAACATTTAGTGGTTAGAAACATACAATGGTAAACGGCGGATTTTTCACAAAGCATCCATTGCCAGTGGGGCGAGATGGCTTAAGTAGTAAGAGCGCGAATTTGCCGACCAGAAGGTCCGTATTCGAATCCCCTCTCGACTTTCCCTGTCTGGACTTGGGCAACCTGGCAGTATCCCAGCCCTCGTGCAACCTTCGGGTGGCATGGCAGCTAGGCACCGGAAGGGTGTTACAGCTGGACGATTTATTTATTTTTTTAATTTTTATCCATTACCAGTTAGTCCAGTGAATATATATATCCTCAGCGGTAAAATTCCAAAGTCGTTCGAGGTCAGAAAAATTATCTCGGATTCGTGAGTCAGTGGCAAGTGCTGCAGATAATGTTGAAAAGTAATTGGTAGGTTTGTAATTGTGTTTGCGCGAAGACACACCCGGAATAAATCAATTTTCCATAGCATACAACTGCCGATTCGTGCGTTGCATGTCTTGAAACATACCCTCAGGCAAATACACCAAGTATAAATAGTGTTTCGAGAGAACAGCGCAGGCGCTCGGGATCAGTACAAATCACACTCTCCTAGGAAGCGCAGGCGTCCAACCCTATCATCAAGAAATTTCCCCATAGAATCTCGACAGACATGAAAAGACTGAACAAATGATGCTAAAAGTTTATTCGAAAAAAGCGTGACAACCAAGTAGTTGCAAGTAGTTTGTGCTTCGTATTGTCAAAGCTCCCCTAGAAGCTTAACATACATATGTTTGCCTAAAATTAGGCTTGTTTACTGTTGCACACTCCAGGTTTGGCACTTTTTAAAGCTTCCACAAACTAATTAAATACTTCCGTATGCATATTTTGGTGTTCAAATTCTTATGGAGCTAGAAACCCCAAGATCCATCGATGACTTGAGTAGTCCCTGTTTTCGATGAGGCTGCGCACCGGGGGCTTACTGACTTCGAGGTTTTCAACTATGAAACCAGTTATCTTGCCCTTATTCGAGATAAGATCACCGCTACATTTTCTATTATGGAGAGAAATCAATTTTGGATCCGTTGAGCCCTTACATTCGCTGGGCTAGCCCCAAATATGAGGTCAAAGGAGCACTCATGTTGCGCGAGATACCAAGAGTCAGTAAGTAGAGTGAATAGTGATACTGGCATATGAATATATGAAAGCTGGTGCTCAAATGTACTCTCGCCTTACGACACTGGGGTTGAGCAACAACTAACGCTGCGTTAAACATAATCTCTCGACAGACCCAAAGCGCCACTATGTATGGCTTCAAATGAATCGACTGACCCAAAAGAGTTTAACTGCAAACGTTCGGATCCTCGAGTAATACATCAACATTGCTTTAATTAGAGTATGGTATATGCATAGTAAACAGTTCGCCCAGGCGCGCAGGTCACGATCTTCTTGGAGGCCTCCACCTTGGGGGCATTAAACCTTCCGTGATAGAAATACCTTCGGGACCGAACGTATGGTATATGCATAGTAAACAGTTCGCCAAGGCGCGCAGGTCACGATCTTCTCGGAGGCCTCCAACTTGGGGGCGTTAAACCTTCCGTGATAGAAATATCTTCGGGACGGAAAAACTTAGTCCTTTTCTTTTGGAGCAGTACTACAGAGAGGCTAGCTCTGAGAATTTCTTTAAAAAACAAATCGTTCGGTCATGGTCCACCAGTGCATGATTACCAGATAAGGTGACCTAATAATAATGATTATAATAATAATAGAAGAACAATAATAAATAGCAGTAATAATAAATAAGGACAGACAGTCAAGTCTAGGTAAAAGCTCTCGGATATATGTTGGTCAAAAAGCTTGTATCTCATTACCAGCCAGCCTCACTAATCATCGGTCCTTTCACTGACTGAATGTGTAGCAGATGTCAAATTTGTTTTCTTCCCAGACACTTGAGTACGATATTATTGCGCACGAGGGAGAAGTTGTACAATTGCTAATACAAGTAGCTCCTAAACCGGACCTGAATGATTCAGCAGCCAATGAGACTAAAGTGTGCGAAGTCTGGCTTGAGATCCCACTTGATGCCCAAACGCGACTGACACAAAGGTTGTCATGGGAATGCAATTTTTCCTCAGAACCGGTCCGATAGGCAAAAGCAAAACACATAAGGAGAGACTGACATCGCTGGTAATAGGACATACCCAGGTAGGTTAGGTCGTGAGAGGGGATTTGCTCAACCATGGACAGCTGATTTTTACGGAGCTCTTCAACCGAAACATCCAGTTTTATCCGCTTTACTTCTCCAAACGATTCATCACCTGAATGGGATTCTACATCCGAGTCTTCGGTGGATAACTGCACTCCACGTGACGCCTGGCCAGACACAGCAAACGCAATAAGGTTGAGCTTCAACTCTTCAGAACAAGAGGTTAAGCCACCATCCATCCTCCCTCGTTTGCTAGTCGGATGTAATATGTCCACCTTAGTGGGATTACGCTTGGTACCAGGAACTCGCACTGCCTCGGGGAGGTAAGACGGGTACAAACCGGGGTAACGAGGTTGGGGAGGAATGAAGTTCAAACCTTGGAAATCTGGAAAGTATGAAGCGAAAAATGAAGTCATGGAAGTACTCACCAGTACGACCATATTTTACTCCCTCAAGTTAAACTGCATGGAATTAACCTATATTCAGATACAATGTAAACATAAGGCATGGATTATTCGAAGATCAGCAGAACATTTGACGTGTATGAGTATACGGTGTCACATATCCAAAACTGGCCATGTGCTTCGTTATCAAGAGGAAATAGGAATCCACCAGAGAAACAAACACTCACTTTCACAGTCACCAGTTAGTAAAGTGATTGGCGCTGCAGATACAGCAGAGAATATCAGTGTCTGTCGATAACGCCTTCCATACCCAGCGAGGTAGCCAAGACGAATGCGTGCTGCGGAAGCAAAGGTTGCTTTAGTTGGTCGTTGATTGAGCAAGGACACAATCTTTTGTACATTGGCCCAGTTTTGCATCAGGAGCATTTCCGCCTGATCGATAATTAGCAATTCAGTAGACGCAGTGATATACTGGAGATCTGCTTCTTTTTCTCTAAAGAACGGAAAAACGCTCGCCGTTTCTATAATCTGATATGGCGTTTGCAATCGACTGAAACAAAAGTAGCTGTATCACCAGGACATACATCAAACCCCCCCCCTAAAAATCAGTGCTCATAACGAGGAAAGCTTCTGGGTGCCGACAGTGTCCAGCAAAGTTGTTGGTTGTTAGGTTTAGGTCAGGCCCTAAAACCAGGTGCAGAATAAGACTATTCAGCGGCCACGGAACCTGCAGAAAGCACAATATTTTATATAATGCAAAAGCACCCAGGTTCATGCAATGGCCTGGTGCAACGGCCTTTCTAGCCGTAAACTCACACCATGGAGTTTGATCCATTACGATCAAAAATGGAATTCCCGCCTGAAACAAAAGTAGCTGTATCCCCAGGACATACATCAAACCCCCCCCCCCTAAAAATCAGTGCTCATAACGAGGAAAGCTTCTGGGTGCCGACAGTGTCCAGCAAAGTTGTTGGTTGTTAGGTTTAGGTCAGGCCCTAAAACCAGGTGCAGAATAAGACTATTCAGCGGCCACGGAACCTGCAGAAAGCACAATATTTTATATAATGCAAAAGCACCCAGGTTCATGCAATGGCCTGGTGCAACGGCCTTTCTAGCCGTAAACTCACACCGTGGAGTTTGATCCATTACGATCAAAAATGGAATTCCACCAGCTGAGCAACCCTGATCGGTAGCTTCCAAGTACACCATGTGAAACCAGCAACCAAAGAATAAAGTGACTGCCCCTGATAAGCGGTAGTAAGAGAAAAGTCCCCACGACTGTCCTATACTAACGTTCTGCTATTTTCAACACATGTGGGTTGCACAACTTTAACCATCAGAGAGTTTAACTACTTTCTAATAACCCAGGAATAAAGTCACCAGCACAGCCACAGTAAGCGTTACAACGAAATGAACCGCTTTCTAATACGTCTCTGAGGATAATTATAGGACCAGAATAATTGGTCGCCCCTGTCTGTGAACCTTACTCTGGTCCCATCGAATTTATCACCTTTTCTAAATGCTGCAGCGAGTCTTGTCACCAGATTTTAGATGACAACTGAGAGTCTGTTATGGTGTCAAAAGACAGCACAGGAGTGGTAGACGAACCCCGGGGAACAAAATGGCAGCCGGCAGTAATCGAGCAATCAAATCAAATCTGGCTGGAACTAGAGCTCTTTAGATAACCGTGTCGAGTGTTGTGTGATTTGGTGCATGGACCCGATCCGTCCTCAGTACATACTAGCCAAACACAGTGGGTGGCACACAAAACCAAGAACGAAGGCATTAGTTATGCTTCACAACATGTGCTTAAGGAAGTAACGTTTTGTCGGTGAGAACTCGCGTGCACTGTGGCACAAGAGATGAAAAACTAAGGGTCTTAACGTGCGCTGGGAAACATCCACTGGGAAACCGTAACAAAACACAAGAACATAAGATCACAAACGCTCAGCGAAACTCACTTTTCTTCGTCTATGATGGTTTGTAAGCCCAGGGGTGATGCTAGGATGAGATCGGACTCGGCAAAAGCTGAATAAAGTTTGACAGACTTTTTGGCAAAAGCAATCCCTATTCGGAAGTGGTCACTTGTGTTACCTGGGAGAAACGGAGACGAAATGAGTTGAAAGCGTTATTATTGGGACGCAACAGTTATCTATCAACACAGCGTACAAAACCTGACTTACAACTAAACCACTCCTCATAGTCACTTGGCTTGCGACCTTTGCGTTTCTCCTTATCTGCTTCACCAGGCTGAGGCCCAAAATCCCGATCGAAACGACGGCGATGACTGACAGTAGATCCTTCAGGCATGAGTCTGAGAAACGTATGTACAATGCGACGCGCGGCCTCCTTGGTTGGCGCTAGAATAAGGGTACGTGCCCGATGGAAACCTTGATCACGCAAAGAGCTTTAGGAAAAATGACACCAGAAAGCATGTGACAGTGCGTGACTGGCGTCTCCTCAAACGACTGACTGCCTCAGTCCAGTCAATGCGGGGAAAATATCAATTTATAAATTTAACTACCTCCGTTTAGTAACCAGTAACCGACTGAGAACCAACTGATAAATGGGAACAAAAGATAACGCACTCTGAAATGCCCATCTTCGCTTCCCGTTCATTGTTTTTCATTATCAACTTTCGTGACCTAAAGGAAACATCCAAGTGACGAGAAACACTTACCTCAGCGAATGATTTAATGCATGGGCACAATAGATGGTGCGAACTGTCACATTGTCGGGAGAACGACGGCAGAATAGCATATCCTTTGAAGCGATCAAAATTATAAGAAGATCAAACAAACCTCATAGTTGGATACCAGCTGGAAAATAGCTTCATCGAAAGCAGAAAGCTTGGGTGCGATCGGCTGTGAGTAATCAATATTAAACAGCCCTCGGCAGCAAAAAACATACGTTTTTGGAAGGTAGGAGAGGGAACTGGAGTGTTCGAGCTGTAGACTTGTAACAGCCAATCGTGGGATCCTGAGAAGCTCGTGTGTTTAAGGAAAAGACCAACCACAACAGTGCTAGCTATATTTATATCCAAAGAGTCCAGTTGTTCATACGGAAAAGAATAATGACGTACAAACGCCGATCCTGAGTATTCAGATTGAGTAACGTACAGCTTACCCTCAGTGGGGAGATCTGATAAATCGTCCATCGTAACGTTAAAAGAAGCTGGAAAGGTTACAGCACAACCCGGAATAACAACGGTAAATAAGATCATCATCACTGACAACAACACCAGACGAGAGTACCTGTGCTTCAATGAACAAATCCCGGTAACGGAAATAAGGGCATCAGGGAGAACTTACGGATAGTCTACAACAAGCATCCGAGCTGACTACACATCCAACACTCAGTCACAAAATATGCATAGAAACTGACAGCACGATCGCCACTGATACCGGTTGGTCGCCATATCGTTCAGCGTCTGCAGTAAAGTCAATGGAGTATCATAAAAACCCAACGGGAAATAAGGCCTTGTATTTGGAACACGAGGACCCAGGACCACACCACTGGGGGTACTTTCGAATTCAGAATCGTCATCACAAAAGGTGACACACCAGTACGAAAAACTGATGTTTCTTATCAGTAATGGCTGGCATCCGAAGGTGGCTGATCGGCTAACGTGGTTCCACTGGGGGTACTTTCGAATTCAGAATCGTTACCACAAAAAGTGACACACCAGTACGAAAAATCGATGTTTCTTATCAGTAATGGCTGCCATCCGAAGGTGGCTCATCGGCTACCGTGGTTTGAACCACTGGATGCCTACGCTGGTTGAAAAAACTCAATCGTTTCCGGCACCATCATTATCATCAACAGCATGACATCAGTGTTCAACACCGATGCTTCACTGCGGCACAACCATGACATATTTGAAAACCTTATTGTAAAGAAAAGAGTAAAGGTGGACGGGGAAGGGACCTAGTGCTAGCTTAACACAATCATTCCGAGGTGCCTCCAGACATTCACTCAGGCAATCCGGATAGAAACTGACAACAAGGACGCCACTGACATCGGTTGGCAGCCATATCTTGTAGTGCCTCCAACCAGGCACAGTGAGGATCACGCGGTCCCCATCCTGGGAGGCGAGTAGCACCAACAGCACCCAAGCGTTTCGTGATCTCCTTCATACTCCTCTGCCAAGTCTAGGGTTGACAGTAAGGGTGCTGACAGCAGATGGCTTATTCAAATGCACGTTAGATGGAATGAGATCAGCTCCAAGCATGCACAGAACCAGGGCTAGCTATTTGCTGCATAGTGACAAGTATAGTGACAGTTCAAATGCTTGTTCACCAGTAAAGTGGCAGTGTCGCCTCCACAGTTTTTGGGTCTCAGTGGAATCACACAATTCCTCCCACCATAATACCGCATCATCACTCCTGGGGCGTGTCTAGAAGCAAAGTAGGTTAGGTTACCGGTAAAACTGTCGTCTAAGGGAGTGGAGGTGTCAGACAGGTAGTGGTTAGGAGATGTAACGAAGTCACCTCAATCCATTTCCGAATGAAGACGAGCTGATGACATACAAGTCCACCCTAGAGATGCGGGCGTCAAAATGTAGCACAAGCCCGCACAATTATGACTGTGAAAAGTAGTTCAGCTGTAGCACCCTTTCGGTGCCTAGCTGCCATGCCAACAGAAGGAGGTGCGAGAGCTGGAATACTCCCATGTCGCTCAAGCCTAGATAGGAGCTACCGAAATGCTGAGGTCGGATTTGAACCACGAACCTTAGGAAACTGGCGCCTTAGCCACTGAGCTATCTGGACACTCATGACTGTGCCGAGAATATTAAGTACTTTCCTAAGAGTCCGTATGTTTCATGGAAGTTGAGATACACCGTCTACTGACTTGAAGGCCCGTGGTTCGAACCCGACCTCTTCATCTCGACTGCTCTTGTCTAGGCTTAGGCAAGTTGCTAGTGTCTCAGATGTCGTGCTTCCTCCGAGTAGCATGGCAGAGTGTTACGGCAGAACAATTATTATTATTACTACTATTACTACTATTATTATTTAGAAACCCGTCAAAACTGCAAAGGGAGCCACCTTCAGTTATCCCTGAAATAAAATAGGCGTTTTGGAATTAACCGAAGATCATCAAAATAGCGTAATTTCAAGTGGATTGGAGAATTATTTCACAAATAATCTAATTCAAGATGCGAGTCCTAGGCACTGGTTCTAACCACCAATTTCGGTTCTTCACCAATGCAGTTGGCAGTTCGAAGGACTTGGGTGACGACAATTCCGTCTGTTCAACCCAAAAGCTTAAGGTAGACGTAATGAGTAAGGCTGATTACTCAAGCATGTCATTTGTGACGTCCATGTTTCGCCATTGAACACTGATGAAAATAGCAAGACAGCCTAATGTATCGTAATTTCCGTGTTTACGCGCAAGTGGTGGTTACACCATACGCGTTTCCCAAGACAACGATACAGCCGGCATTGGCGGTCTACGGGCACCACAAGCGTGTATCGGAAACCAGTGACGGCCCGGTAGTTAGAGCGATAGTTTGCTAACCGGAAGGTCCGTGGCTCTGACCCGGCCTTCGCCTCTCAACTTCCCCTGTCTACGCTTAGGCAACCCAGCAGTATCCTAGTCCTCGTGCTTCCTTCTGGTGGCATGGTAGTTAGGTACCGAAAGGGTGCTACAGTTGAAGGACTTTTTTATCTTTGAGAAAACGGCCAAAGTAAAAACCATAGTAGTGTTCTTGGCTTGTTTCAGGTAACACGAGTAGACAAGAGAATTCAATGGTATCATCAACAACATCATAGATAGCAATATACCAACAATGTACTGTCACCTAACAGTCAAATAAAAACGGAGAAAGGAGCACTGACAACAGCGAAATGGGAGGGGAGTAGTCGGGAGCAAGCCCCCTACACCTTTCCGACAGCGTAAAAATAAACGCATCCGAATCATATCTTCATGCGAGGCATCAGCAGATAGATTAATCCATATTCTTTATGCAGTCAGATATACGAAGAACACACCACTCAGAGTAGTCTCCATTACGAGTTACAAGGTCACGGCCTGTGCCGCAAGAACCTTTCGCCAACCTGTGTTTGAAGTTAATGCACAGGCTAGATCGGCCAAATGCCCAATTTTCTTCCCATGTGAGAACAATAAGTGCAGTCCGGTGGACACCGAGTCACCAATTTAGCCGTAGCATATATATATATATACATATATA